CATCCAACAAAATAGTACCATCTCTCGCATGGCTCCCAAAAGTCCAACTTGTCCTTTGGCCTAATCCTTCCTTCTATATAAATATGATCATTGTTTATCAACAACAAGAAGTTTCAAGTAAAAACTTAAAGACAACAAGATAATATAAAATGAAGAATGCACAACTATATAACCACTCCGTCATATCAACACCACAACTTATACATCATCTCATCATAAGATAGCTCAAAGCCCAACTTAATCACACATTTAATTAGCACATCAATACATTATAGAACCAACATAACTCAACATTCAACATAACTCTCAACTTAACCTGCTGCAACATATCAACATAGTAGGTAAACAACACAACTTATCAACAATACAATCATATATCAACTAAACAACACATCAACTTACAATACAATACAAATTAATGTGTCATCACATATATCAATTAAGAGATCTCTTACAACATAGGAGAGTAATCTAAGTGGTTTGAGCCTACTAAACAAACTTAACAATGCGATTTTTTTGGGCTTTCTAGATCAACAACAAATTTGAATATCAATCCACAAAACATGGCTTCTTTGATTTCACCACTTAAACTAGAAAATTCTAGTATTTTTTGTCAAGGATAAAATATCTTAGATATAAGTCTACCATGACCTTAACATGCATAATTAAGCCAATATAGAATTAGTCTGTCGGCTACTCTCCAAATATTATGCCCCTTCTAATACTTAGTTAGGGATTTTGACCTTCAATTTTGTACCTTACTTGGTTGGTCACTTCTAAACCAATATGGCTTGACCTTACCCCTATACGGTATCAACTAAGGACCTAAAAGAGACTTAACATTCCATTTCAAGAGACAACTATACTAAAGAAGGGTTTTTAATATTGGGTTCTCAAAATCCCACAACACTATATCCTCACAATGAGATATTCATCTTTTAAAGCAACACCCCTTCTCTAGTCCTAAGTCAATCAACATAACACATTTACATGCATTAAGCATCCACAACCCAGTTTTCAACACTACATATCTTGCCATTGTACATCTTTACTACAATTCAACTTTCATTCGTAATCAACTTAAAACTTAAGCAACTTAAACATTAGTATACTTCATCTTAGATCAATGCATAATGAATTGGAATCAAACAACATAAATCATGTGAGTTATTCAATCTATTTGACGCATGTAAAACACTTAGTCAAATAAACAACAAGTTCCCATTTAGTAACCCACGCTCGATGCCATTCTCCCAATGTCCAGCGTCATTGAGGCAAAGAGTCTATGACTTGTTCACGCCCAATGCCAATCCACCTACACCCGGCATGATGAGACGGAGAGTCCCTATATCAATCACGTTTTCATCCAAGTAGAAAATCTCTACCCAACTCACTCCTGATGCCACTAAACTTGCGAATCATCTAGGTAGAGAGATACTAACCGAATCATGCCTAGTGCCACTTATCTTGGGCCTGATGTCACCAAGTCAGGGAGTTCCAAAGGCAACCACGTCTAACGTCCCCTAACTTACATGTGACGTGAGCAAAACAGAGAACTCCCCTCTAACTCATGCTCGACATTACCAATTTTGGACTTGGCATTAGTAAGGCATAAAGTCTTTGACTTGTCTCACACTTGGTACCATGAAGTTGCGCTCGATGTGGTAGCGATTTTTGTACTTGGTAGAATTCCATTTTAGATCTAATAACCTAAAATTCAATAAGATACCAACGTGCAAGTCACATTTCAACTAGTATACAATATTTATCATCTTATTCTACATATTTAAACAACATGCAATAACAAAATGGCCCCAAAATCATCATTTCTTCTCAGCTTCATCAAAAAACCAACAAAACCCGAAACATAAGTATTTCATCCTCAATTTCAAACAACATAACCACAAGGATGTATAATTCAAGTAATAATTTGAAAAAGAAATTCAACAAAAAAAATTCAAAAGCTTACCTTATCTTAGATCACCTAGAATAGAGGTAGAAGGAAAAAAAGGAGATCCTTTGGGGAACTCTGCATGACAATCTAAGAACTTTGATTCCAAGCCTTCTAAGCTTGAATCTCCATATAAGAACTCAACTTACTCTGGGGAAGGATCCTAGAACACTCTAGTAGAATCATAAGAATAAGAAAATCTTTTTGGTTCTAGAACTTCTCTATCTAACTTCTCTATAGGTTTTCTTAAGAAATGAACTAATGAAGTTCAAGTCTTAAGAAAAACTTTATATAGCTTTCCCTAAACTTAGTCGACTTTAACCTTAACTCAAAATAACTCTTAACCAACTAAACTCATAAGAGTCCCTAAATCCTTAAAAGTTTTACAACAATAAAACAACTCACTATAGAATAAAGGTCAATAATCAATCTTTAGGCTTGTCTACCCAACAAAAAGAGATTACAATTTTGGATACTCTTGAAGCCTAAGCCATCATAGGTCTTTAATCAATTAAAATAATAAAATAAATAATTATAAATAAAAAATTTCACAGTGTTACAATTTGGTCTGAAATATCAAACTTATTATAGAAGAAAGGTTAATAATCAACCTCTAGGCTTATCTGCCCAACAAAGAAAGATTACAATTTTGGATACTCTTGAAGCCTAAGCCACCATAGGTCTTTTTATCTGTCAACTTTTCCCACCTTAGCAAATTTATTCCCCAACCTTGTCTTGTATTAAACCCCCACTAGTAAGAATTTAAGAGCCTTTTCGGTTAATCTCCTAAATTTGAAGGTACGGGAAAAACACTTATGACATATGTAAGGATGACCTACAAAGCAACTTTGATCATGGTCTCCTTCCTAGCCTATAATAGTGATTTACTACTTCGTGATTGGATTTTCTACGACATTCGGTCTTTAGCAAAACGAAGGACATTTTTTTGCCTTCGACCAATCAGTGATGGTAGGTTAATTAAGATATTTGTATGTTCCATTACATTCTCAAAACCCCCAACAATCAAAGAGAGTAACCAATGTTCAACCTAAGGAGTATTTATACTATAAAATATCTCTAACTTGGTTAGGTTGATGGCTAAACCCAAAGCAGCCTTAAAAACCTAGCTAGAGAAAATTAATGATAACACCGACCTCCATCTTTGTGGCTCTAAATAACAAGAAATAATGATTTGCAAACATAAGGTGACTAATTGATGGAGTCTCGGATTCTTGAAACTCCATGGAGCTTTCCTTCAACTTCTTCTAGCAAATCCTTAGGAGAATTCAAGGATAGGCACCGATAGGGGTGCCAAAACGGGCCAGCTCGACCCATTTTGGTCTGACCCGCCAATAGCTCGCCAAAATTGGTCGGGTCAAGCCGGCCCGCAAATGAAAAACGGGTTGGAAACGCTGGCCCACCTAGCCTAAGGACGGGTTAGCGGGTTGGCAGGCCAGCCCGCATACCACAAAAAAAATTGTAAAAAAATGGAAAAAAATATTTTATGTTCAAATAAAAAACTATTGCAAATAAATAAATATAACCATATGAAATTAAAAATGCATACATATTGTACATAATATATGTTCAACAAAAGCAAATTACAAACTTAGAACAAAATCAAATAGAAATTAGTCCACTTACACCAAATTATAAACTTACAAATTACTAATAATCTAAATTTTTTGATAGTCCACAAAACAAGTCCATTACTTATGCAAGCAACTAAAGCCTGATTACTTATGTGGGTTGGCGGGTTGTGATGGGCCAGTCCGTCATTTGGCCCGACAGGTTGGCAAGTTGAAATGATGGGCCTAGCTCGCGGGTCACAACCCATTTTGCCATCCCTAGGCACCGGTGCTAGAAGAAGAAATGTTGCTTCCAAGGTGAACAAAGCTTCTTGGATTAGAAGAAGCTTCAACCTAAAGCTACAAAGAGGAAGGCTCAAGGAAACTTAGAGACTAGATTTCTCCTTGGTGACTTCGGTGAGAGAATTTGAAATCTAGAAGAAGATTAATTCTCATTCAAATGCCAAAGTGAGTGAAAGTACACGACCATATGGAATATATAGGCCTAGGAAGTGTGTAAGAGAAGCTAGCCTTAACCTAAGGTTAAGATAAACCATGGTATGGTTTAAATTAACCTAAGGCGCCAAATTTGAATTCAAAAATTCAAATCTGATATCGGCCAAGTGCAAGTTTTATTTAAATGTGATTTGGCTTGCATTTGAGTCATTCCATGTGCGCAACTCCACTTGGTCGGTCACATGGTTCAAATGCTAACTAAATGCAAGCTAAATTACATGTAAATGAGATGGAACATGCACTTAATTATTCCTAAGTCTAGAAATGACCAAAAATTACAAGGCCCCAAATCCTATGCTACTTGGCCAAAATACAAGGCCCACAAACAAAACCCTACTCTACATGGACTTTAGTGCACAACCTAACTAAAGAGCATTATGGGCTTTTCTTGATTATTGGCCCATTCTTCCTCCAACCTCTTGATCATGACCCTAGTGATTGAGCCCTTGGCCCATGGCCAGCTCCATCACTAATGCGGGGAGCATTTTTTCATACCTGTACACCATGGATATCACCCCTCATTTCTAATTGCTTAATGAGTTTCATAAGACCTTCCATTCCTAAAATGAAGAGGTATGGGGATAAATGGTCTCCTTGATAAATACCTCTACTAGAAACAATAAACTCAATCTCATAATCCAAATTATTGAAATCAATCCACTTGATTACTTGAATCCCAATTTCTTTGAGGTAAAGCATAAATTCTCTAATCAACCCCTAATTCCTTTGGTAAACTAACTATTGAATTTGCATTAAGAACTTTTTTTTAAAGATTACTATCAAACCTTATTCAATTTCTAGAAATAAGATTTATCATATGCTTAATTTTGTATCAAGATTTACCAAAGTTTTCTCTATTCAAGAGTAAATCTTAATTCAATTCGTGGTTAATCAATTCACATAAAAAAAACGAGAAATACAAAAAATTGGACACTAATAAGTAAAAAAGAGAACATGAACATAGATAGAAAAGATAAATATTTACATAAAACTTGATTTAATTACATCAAAACCCCAACAAAGAGAACTTAGTCATTCATCTTCATTCTAGATATTCATATACAAATATGGAAATGATGATGGGTAAAACTTGTACTGAGAAGCTCCAAAGACTCAGATGTGTCAAGTTCCTATGTAAACTTTCTTTAGAAAATTAATGACTAGTCACTCAAAATATACAAAAAAGGCCCCTCTAAATACTACAGAAATTCATTAAATCATGATAAGCGCCCAAACTCTAATACTATGCACTGTCCTAAATTTTAAAACGAGGATGTGCCAAACAAATTAAAAATCTTCTCTTTGGATTGTTCGTGCCAAGCATTGACTACATATCTTCATCATTACTCTAGTCATACTAAGCTTCTTTCCTTGGGTTTCACACTCTTGAGGCTTTGAAAACTATATTTATATATAAACCTGTCCAAAATTACATTAAAATAAGATAAATATACTAAAAACCCAAATGACAATACATAATTTATTTATTTTACATTTTTACTTAACTAACTAAGAACAAGCTTAATTAAAACCCTAAATTTGAAAATGAAAGATAAAATACCTCAATAAAGATTAAAATACTAATGTATAAATCAACAATTATTATTTATATTCATAGATATTATAAGTCATGTATACATAATATAAAAGAGATACTAAAATCTTTAATCACTTTTTGATCTCCATTTTTATTAAAACTAATTTACCCTTCAAAATTTTTTGGTCACTTATTTTATTCCATCTCTTTTCTCTCTCATTTTTTATTTTTATTTTTATTTAAATAAAATATATAAAGATACGGAATATATTAATCCAACTATTTCTATATAAGGGATGTAATACGGTTGGATTTGGAGTGATTAAAAGTCCAACCCAATTAAAAAAAGTCAAATTATTTGAGTTATGCGTTTTTTTTAGTGAACATCCCAAACCAAACCTTTGGGTCATGTTCTCAAGGGTAATAATAAAACAATAAAAAAAGGACAAAATTGAAAATTGGTTGAGGCAGCACTCAGACCATATCCATGTTTAAATTTGTGTTCAAATCTCCGTCTAGAAATAAAGAGCTTGGCGTCAATGATTAGTGAGGTCGTAAAGATGGATTGAACCTTCACCTTCTTGATGTCCATGATGAGAACAAAGTGTTATTCTTGAAGGGATCTAAAGTCTAATAGATCAAGATTTATGCATATTAAGGTCACCACTTACTCATCTGGTTTAGACAAATAAAGGTTGCTAGAGAACGTCAAAACTCAAACGAATGCACAGTGACGAAAGTTGTTAGGGACCAAGAAATAATGACAAAGGTTGTCGAGGGCTGAGAGTGGTGACAGTCCGGAGATGAATAGGCAACATTCATAGCGACGAAGAGGTAGATATTAAAGGCTATGAAGAAATTAACAAGGAAACTACTTGTCAATTGTGAAGCAAAGATGAAGGCGAATATTGAAGCAATAATGAAGGGGTCAATTAAGGTTAGAATTTTTCGAGTTTACAAACTTAAAATCCAATACTCAAATTGACCCGGTACTCTTTTTTTTTTATTAACCTAATAAAATATTGACTTGAGTATTTTAAATTTTTGGCTAAGCCACATTTTAGTATTTCTATAATATTCATTTTAGTTTTATCATTAAATATTTTATTGATGATTAAAATTTTAATATTGACAAATGATTTAACATTAAGTAGATGACGTGAAAATTATTATTTAATAATATTTTAATTCTAATTTTTATCCTATAAAAGTTTTTAAAAAAAGGTGGTAAAAATATGGTAAAAATAAAGATAAAAAATATAATTTAATTTAAATATTAATTATCATATCATTCATTTAGTGTTAGTTCATAGTCATTGTTTTAATTAATTTTACGAATTAATAGATGAATGTTTAACGGTTCAATTAAAATTACAGATTTTATAAAATTGAGAGACTGTAATTGTGAAATTAAAAATTGAAAGATGTAAAAAAGAAGTTTGAAGGATCAAAATTATTAATTAAATACTATAAGAGTATCAAAAGTTAAATTTAGTCTAATTTTTCAAAGAATATCTTTTGAAATGATTTCAAATTTTACTTTTTTTTATAATGTATTTTCCAAATTTACTTTGCAAATCTATCGTCTGGCTCCTATTTAGACGCTTGCTCAATATTTTTTTTTCTTTCCAAGCATTTGAAAAAAAAACTTTTAAAAAAGAAAATAAACTCAATGTAACCCACTTTCAATTCTTGTGTTGTAATGTTGTATAATACACTTTTTTTTTTTCCAAAAAAAAAAAATTTCTTTCTTTATGAGTTGCAAAATGTCCGTCGCTTGACAAGTTTGAAATATAAGATAAATGCTCATACATTCATTTTGCACATTTAATACAAAAAAGGGAGATTGGAAGAATAGGGAGGAAAGTATGCAATAACTAACAAGGTTAGTAGTATGATAGAAAAAAGATAGAGAGAAAAACCTATCGCTGAAAATAATTGGTGTATAACTTGAGGTACAAATGGGATCATAATTATGAGAAAAAATAAAGTTAATTATTTCCGTAAATTTATTAAAAAAAAATAAATGATGATATTTTTAGTTCAATTTATTATAAACAAATAATGATATATTTTTAATTTTTTAAGAAAATTTTCAAATAAAATGATTACTTTTAAAAAAAATCTTTTCAAACATACATCAAGTCTTAAGTACTAGTTTAGTTAAATATTTATATTTAAAATAGACTTTAAACAAAGAAAACAAGAAAAATGTTTCGTGACTAAGAATATCATTGGAGGAATGTTTCAACTTACGCTAAGAGATGCAAAGCCACATTTGTTTTAAATAAAATGTCAAATCAAATTCTAGTTCAAGTTAATACATGAACTTCGCACCAATCGCACAATTGGCCGTTTGTTTAAATTTTAAAATAATGTTTCTAAAAAAATATTTTTTTAAGAAGTAATTTTTTAAGAACTTGATAAGAGTTGTTTAATTATTAAGAAAAGCAAAAAAAAAAAAGAAATTAAAAAAAAACAGTGTAGACAAATACATTAAAAAAACAGTTTATTTAAACAAACGAGTCTAATTTCCTATTATTTCATTTTTCTCTTTTAAGTGTTGTCTTTTTTTTCTTTTTTTCTTTAACGATAAGACCACCTTTATATAAATAGATAGATATGGATGGATAGATTAGGGGAAAAAATATATAAAAAGAAGGAGAGGAAAATCAAGCTTCTTCAAAATTTAAAAGAATTACTCTTCATTTTTACCTTTCATTTTCTTTTAATCTAACGGTTCTAATTAATAATTCATATTTTTCTGTTAAATTAAAAAAAATAATGTAGAACGTAATAAAGATGAAAAATAACTCTTTTTAAAATTACTCTTGTTAAAGTAACTTTATCCCTAATCGTATATATACTAGACGGCATAATATTAATATTGTTAATAAACCAGTAGCCCACGTATTCTTAAGTGTGACATAAATGAATTCCATTCATTGTATATATATATATATATACCTTCCAGATGATTGCAAAGAGCTTGTTTTGTCACGTCTCAAGCAAGTTCTTATTTGCCATATCTAATGCTTCTGGGGCTCCCCCACCATCACTTCTCTAAATGTTCCATCCACAAGTTAACTCCATTTAATAATATGTACCAATATGTAGCTTAAACTTGATATTTTAATGTAATGTTTTGCAAAGTGTTATAAAAAATTTACCTTGTAAAAGTCAACAGCAACGTAGTTAGGCCATCGATTACCTGCAGCTACGAAGCACATATTCATCGTTCTAATCAATGGAGATGAGTTATCCTTACACGCTTCTTTAGAATTTTGGACATTCCGAAAGTAGTTCATTAGGACTAGTGACTTTGAGGTTGTGTTCATTGGAAATGATTCAACACGATTTGAACAAGAACCTCCCTTCATCCCACCATGTCCATCTACGATAAAAAGAATTAGTCAAAGTTGGCTCCACTTAATATATAATTTGATCTTAGAGGAATGACGACATAGGATATAATAGGACTAACATTCATTTTCTACAACATAATTCCACACATATGCAATTCCTTCATAAGCCTCCTTAGTAGCATTTGAAGTAAACACAATTAGTCTATGATTCCTATGTATCATTTCTTTGACTGTTGGCCAATCACCACCATTCTTGGGCATCTTATATATTGGAAACCAAAATTTTGTCAACCCAGCAGCATTAAACAACTTTTTCACACCATTATGTGATGTTACATGATCCTCAATGAAAATGGTGATGATTTGTGCTGGGTGCGTTACAAGAAATGCCTTGATCTCTTTTAGAGCATAAATGGCTGGTAGCTGTTAAATCATATTCATAGATCAAAATTAGGGTCATGAAATATGTGAAATTAATATAAAGGCATGTTTAAACATAACCAAATCAAATGAACTTAATATACTTTCATTGTGCATCGTGGTGATTTAGAAAATTTAACATATATCTTACAAAAGCTGTGTATTTAAAGCATGGCCCTTGACATAACCAAATGTCGTCTTTGTAATCATGCATATCCAACATCAATCCTCTTACACCATTCTGCGATAGAAAATTTCTCATAAAAATTATAAGCATGTGCATATGAACTTGTCTTTAGATCAATTTGAAACGACATTTATATAACAATAAGTATAGTTGCTCCATTCACATATCAATCATCTTTAATTAAAAAAAAATGAAATGAGATACTTAATGTAACACACTTTGAGTTGATCTGTAATGGAGTCTTCTTGGTTCATGATGGCTGAAATTGGAAAACCAAAACTTGAGTTCACTCCCTTCCATGCAAAAGAGTTATGAGTTGTAAGCCATGAATATTGATTAAATGGGAGATCCTTCACCTGTACATCATTAACGATAATCTCAAACACAACTTATCAGAACGAGACAAAATAAAAATAAAAATATGAGGAAAGGGCTAATAAAGACCCTTAAAATAGGACTTATGGTTTGAATTCGTGTACACCGATTTTGCGAGTTGCACTCCAAGCATTGCAATCCCGAGTCACAATCATTAATGTCTCGAGAACATGTTTCTCCAACCTTTGAGAAAATATTTCTCACAAAGGAAAAAATCAACTTAAAATGATGAATGAATTAACTTATGATTCAAGCTAGATAATTAATAACAAATAATTTATAAAAATATATAATTAAAAAAATTAAAATCACAATAATGTTTCTATTGATAAATGCAAGCATTTGTATTTAATTCACTACACTAATTATGAATCAATTATATAAAATTAGGTCGTGTATAATTATAGTTGATATGTTATATTTCTTAAGTTTTCCAAAGATTTATATACGGCATCTTATATTACTTAATGTATGAGATAAGACTTTTTATGTCATTTTTTTTTACGGATTTAATGTTATATAAAAAAAATCTATTTTAACTGTCATAAAAATGTTTTATAAAAAATCCTAGTTTGCTTCCAAATATCCTCACATATTCTTAATATATAGTCACCTCAGTTAGTAAGCATTACTATATATGTGCGGTAGTTAAAAAATTAAAGATATGTAAAAGACTTCTAAGATTAGTTAATTAATTGTTTTTCTTGGAAAGTATGATTGTCTCATGGTCTTCAAGGAAGAAAGAAACAGCCTTATCTTCTTATACCATGGTTCGAATATAGAATATGTGTGTATTATTCAAACCTCACTACTAGTATATTTCATTTTATCATAGAGAAGGTTGAAAAAGAGATTAAGCTAAAGTTTTACAAATAATTGTACACCTTTTTGTGAAGTCTGTTTTACAGAATAAACTTTTATATTCTTCAACTTTGCAACAAAGTTTTAGAAATTTTAGAATTAGGAAAGGATATTATTATTATCTGAAAATTTTTAATTCATGATTATATTTTTTTCCCAAAAATCTAAGCCTTAATTGCTAGAAATAAAATGTTATTATAATTAACAATTCTTTGAAATAAGACAATAAGTATTTGTGGTTCAAGTATATGCTACAACTTATTAATATTTCTAAGAGCTTTATACAAGTAATTCTTTTATAATTTGTAAAATAAGAACCAAAAAAATATGCCTAAGATTTGTCATGAAGCCTTAGTTTTTCAATGGAATGCTATATTCTAGTTAAGATAAAGTACCATGAAAACAATGTAACAAGCAAATACAAGACTTGTGCTGATCAAAGTAGCAATGAGAAGGTGATTCTGCAGAGGAACAAAGATGAAAAGTGTGAATACAGGCAATATGGCAGAGCAGAAAGAATGCAAATGCAATTGCACGTACCTCCATTTGCTATTTTGGGTTAACACCAAATTACGTATTGCTTAGACAAGCTACTAATATTATATATATATATATATATATATATATATATTGGAAATGAAACATCATATGTTTGAGTGGCGTACAAGGGAATATCTTGAATTTTACTAATTTTAATCATATTTCGATTGTCGATCGGATGGCATGAACTTGCCTAAAACAATCCCAAAGGGTTATGCAAAAATTAGAGTAATTTAGGAATGCTTTGGTCCTATGATAAAGCTGAGTTGTGTTGTAGTAGAAAAAAATTAAATAGTTGCATTAAACAATAATATCATGATGGTGACCCAAAGAATAAAAGGAAGAAAGGAAAATATATAATTAATAGAACGGAGAATCATTCAATTATTATTTGACACATATATAGAACTGGCTAGTACAGTAAGATGTTCCTCGTACCGGAATGAAATGTGAAAAGTTAAATATAAAAAAAAAACTATACAATTGTTCAAACTCTTATAATTTATTTATTTAATTTTTTTTATAGAAATAATAGAAATTAAATAATAGTTGGAAAATTAAGTTGGCCAAAAAGTTAAGGATTAAGTTATCGGAGTTCTAAAAGTCATTTAAAGAGTTAATTTTTAGAATCAAAGAAGATAAGAAATCGATAGAAAGGTTTTTTTTCTTTGCAATTATTTAAATATCTAACTTTTAACAAATAATCATTTTGTAAATAATGATTTTCAAAAAATATTTATTGTTTCTACATTTAATTTTTTTTTATATTTTAAACTAATAAAATATGAAAACATAATAAAAAAGTTTATTATCAAAAAAATATATTTTAAACTGTAACACTATACATTTATGTTAGTTATTGTTTTTTTTATCAATAATTATGTGTAGTAGGATTTTGGCGCTTCTTGTGAAAAAAACTTGAGAAATTTAGAAATTCTTGAGGTGTTTTTAAGTGTTTAGAGAATTTCTTTGGATAAAAATCCAATTTGACTCGAAGGGGGGATATTTTAAGAGTTGAGCTTCATAAATTCATTCTTAAGAAATCTTAGAAAAATAATCTAGAGAAAAATGCTATAGAGACAATAAGTATTTTCATCTCTGAGCCTTCTCTTGTGACAGTGAATCTTTCCTCGGGCATTGATTAGTTAAGATTGTTGATCTAGTTCAGTAGATCTATGAATTAGAGTTGTTGAGTCGTGTAGAGTTTTTGAAGGAGCTTGGAACTACTTTCTTCTTTCTCTTCCTAAAAAGTGATCTTGAGCTAAAGAAAGCTAGAATTGATTCTTTGTTGAATTAATGATTGAAATATGGTTTGAACTAATCAAAACATGGGGGTATTTATGATCAAATGATGGATTCTTTTATGTTGTGAAAGTTTTGAGAATTTTGAATATGTGTAGAGGTTTTAAGTGAGAGAGGATCACATTTGTGTTGCATGTTTTTATTCTAAGTCGATTGAAGTTGTTAATGATGTATATAAATGATACATTGCATTGCATGCTTGGTTGTCTGATCTAAAGCCAATTTGTGAATTTGCTGAATGTAGATTTCACCATCATGCTAGGCACATCTTCATGGCGTTGGGCGTGACTTAAATCAAGGATCCTCTATTTCACTCTCGTTGGGCAAGAATGGTGGTGCCATGTGAGAGGAGAGAGAACAGTCTTTGACTTGGTCAAGTCAGGTGTGGATTGAATGGTGTCGGGAGTGAGATAAGAGAAGTTTTTTTAACTTGGTGATTTCTGGTCATGAATGGTGTGAAGCCTAGCATGACCAAGACAGAGTCATTTGCTTAAGTAATGTCAGAAGCCAATAGAGTGATGTTGAGTGTGAGGAGAGAGAATCGTCTCTACCTGAATTGGAGCCAAGCATGGGTTTAGCCATGCTAGGCGTGAGTATCCCAAGGAATTATTGATCTCATCAACTGTGGGCATTGATTGAATGGTGTCGAATATGGATGAGATAGAGAGCTCCTTGTCTCAATGACGTTAGGCATAGGGTGGATGGCATTAGGCGTGAATTGCCTTATGATACTTGTTGTTTGATTGAGAAAATGTTAAACATGGATAGATTCGGTGAATCTATTACATGTTGTATGTTGATTTATGTTGTTAGTTCTATATTCATTGATGTGAGATAATACATATAGATGAATAACGGTTGAACTGTTGAGGTGTTGATGTTAGGAATGCTTTAGAAATTTAGGCATGTTATGTTGATAAACTGTTGAATGTTGAGGTGATAGTGCTAAGAATGGTCAAGGCATTTAGGCACATCTCCGTGAATTTGTGAATTTGCTAAATGTAGATTTCACCATCGTGTTAGGCTCATCTTCATGGCATTGGATAAGGGTCCTTTATTTCACTCTCATCGAGCAAGGTTAGTGGCGCCATGTGAGAAGAGAGAGAAAAGTCTCTAAAGAGAAGGATAGCATGCAACCATAATTAAGTACAAGGATCATCACTTTCTTCCAAGAAATGAAAAACATGCAAAAACTCAACTCAAATCTTCTTTCATGATTTAGTTTAATTAACAATATCCATAGCAAGAATACTTTATGAAATTAACAACAACAATCCAACATCTAACAATCATTAAGCTTCCTTTACCTCAAGTCGTCCAAAATTGAGGTAGAAGATGGAAAGAACAAAACCCTCTAAGATTTCGCACGACTAATCCATGTCTTTGATCCTTAGCTTTAGAAACTTTGAATCTTAACTAAGTTGTTATCGACTACAAGGAAGAGATCCTAACACTCTCTTGAGGTCTTAGAAGAAAAAGAAGGAAATTTTAACTACAAAGCTTCATTCTCTAACTTCCTTAAGAAAATAAACTTAAATTCACTTCTTCAGAAAGACCTTATATACTCTTTCTTTAACAAGTCAACTTAACATATGTTTTGAATAACTCATAAACAACAAAACTTATTAGGATTCTTAAATCCTTAGAGTTTCATAACAACTAATCAACTAATCACAATAACATTTAAATTAATAAAATCAATAGTATTAAAAATTACACAGTATTACATATAACATAATAGTATTAATATAGTATATAGTATATATATATATATTATATATATATATA